AATCGTTAGTTTCGTATTGATTGTTGGTATTACCAACAATCAATACGAAACTAACGATTTTAAATTGGCTCACCAATTTAGTAGCCTATTGGTCCCAAGCAAACGATTAACGTACCCTATTCTAGTTGAAATTCTATTACTACACTATGTTTGTTTTGATTCGCTATGAAAGTTTGACAGATAACATCAGGGGTGTGTGGATTCATGCAGAACATGCAGGGGTGAGTGAAATAGCTTGGGACTGCTTGGGACCGTTGTTCTGGTACTGAGTGAGCCAAAAATAATAATGATTTTCTTCAGGACCCAGTGGTCTTAGAGTTACCTCTATGGCACAGACAAACAGACGTAACTCTTTGAAAAACTTGTTCTTGAAAACATAGTATCTCAAAACATATAACCTCAGTAGCGACATCTCTCTGGCTTCTCGCGGAAAACAAGCTTGCTCGCTAACTCGTAAACAATATTGCATAAAAGTTCTATAGAATGTATAGAAACGTCAAAGTGATCCGATGCCAGCGCTGCGGCGAGTAGTTCGTGGAACTGATAATATTCAAATCAACCGTTAAATGCATGAACGAAGATACACAATGAAGAGTTACGTCTGTTTGTCTGTGTCTATGGTATTACCAACAATCAATACGAAACTAACGATTTTAAATTGGCTCACCACTTTAGTAGCCTATTGGTCCCAAGCAAACGATTAACGTACCCTATTCTAGTTGAAATTCTAGTACTACACTATGTTTGTTTTGATCGAGGGGGCGACACATCTAAATCTCAATTGTAGATGCTCAAAAAATTTCACACTAACGAATAAATGTTCGAAAAATCTTCTTTCATTTCTCGCATCTATTTGCATATCGCATCATCTTTTTGCAGGAAATCTTCAACATCGTGATAAATCTTCTTTCTATCTACTCAGCGTACGCGGAGCTAGCCACAACAAAACACAATATTTCCTGCATCCATAGAGTCGTCCCCCTCGGTTTTGATTCGCTATGAAAGTTTGACAGATAAAATGAGGGGTTCGTGGATTTTGCTATGTTTTGAGGGGTGCATCGATTAGCTTGGGACCGAAGATAGTACCACCCGAAAATAAATGATTATAATAAAACAACGAAATTACAATGATTTTTACTGTTGAATTTCGTGTACATTAATATTTATTGTTAAATTATTGCACGGGAGAAAAAATAAATTTCGATTTTTAACGATATAATGCTCAAACAATGAAAATTAGTGTGATGAGATCAAATTTGTTCCAGAAAAATCACTTTTTTTATTGTTAAGATGCTTAACAACCCCCCTTTTTAACTGTAAATTCCTCAAATACCATGTTTTTCATTGTTGTGAACCATGAATTTCGTTATGATATTATGGTAATGGACAAAAATGTCCAATATTTCGACAGTAAATATCATTGTTACAATGACAATGAAAATCATTGTATTTTTATTGGATTTTTTTTGCGGACAGAGCTGAGCCAAAAAGTTGAGCATGTTTCTTCGGGACCATCTGGTCTTAGAGTCACCTCTATGCTAGTAGGTCCCGAAGAAACGAGCTCTACTTTTTGGCTCAGCTCTGGTACTATCTTCGGTCCCAAGCTAATCGATCCACCCCTCCAAACATAGGAAATTCCACTAGCCCCTCATTTTATCTGTCAAACTTTCATAGCGTATCAAAACATACATTGTGTAGTACTAGAATTTCGACCGGAATGGGGTACGTTAATCGATTTGCTTGGGACCAATACTCTAGTCAAGTAGTGAGCCAATTTAAAATCGTTAGTTTCGTATTGATTGTTGGCCATACCAAAGATGAATACTACACGCAGAAAAAATTACCGTCGAAACAAAAATATTTGAGGTTAATTTAAACGTAAATTCAGTTTGTTCTGGCCACAAACATAAACTAGGTTGATTTCAAACGTATTCTACGTTTGAATCCATTGATAATAATGTTTAAAACAAAAATAATGTTACGTTTATTTTAAAAATATTCGTGTTGAAAATAAACGTGAATATTTTTGATTTATTTGAAAACTATATGCAATCAAAAATTAATATGTTTATTTTAAACATGCTTTTCATGTTTAAAATAAACAAACATATTTTGAAATTATTTTAGCATTTGAATGCTGAATAAATCAAAATAAAATGGATAGCAAATTAATGGAAATTCCTGCGATTATGGAAAGTCTGTGGATGTTTGGATCCGGGGGGCCGTCGGGGTGGGTGTCCGATCCGATCCAGTTCAGTAAAACTGGTGAAACTTTGTGATATTAGCGTCATTTTGTCGTTTATGACGCTGGTCCTCATACCGGCCTCTTTCTACGTTTAGTGTTCGGGGATGATCTGTTTTTCTTTCGACGTCGGGTGGGGGGTGAGGATGATATGGGGATCGGTATCAGAAACGACGGATTGCCGTTAATATTGTGATGTTCCACCGGTTTTGTCGAGCTTGGAACATTGCGTGGGTTTCCGGACCCTCTACTTCGGTTTCGCCGCTTGCAGGCCGTTTTCGGTTAAGTTTGCCGAATGTAAACAAGAAGGAAAAAAGGACACGCTAAAAATTGATTACCCAGGTTATGTATTGTTGAAATAAACATGCTTTTGAATTTATTCTAAACATACATATTTTTGTTGAGAACATGTTTGTAATTTACTTTGAACTATTCATATTTTTATTTAATAAACATATATATTTTTAACTTAAATGAACAAAATTTGGTTCCGTGTAAGATGAAACAGTCGGAAGAAAAACTTTCTATTTTAGTGTCCTTTTTCACGGTCTCTTTCATCCAATGAATATCCCCCGTATGCAAGGTAATTTTGTGGTTTTGCTTCCCCCTCGGTAGAGATGAAATTTTGCGCTCTTTTTTATCAAAACAATCACACCAAAAATTGATGTCTCATTTTTTAAATTATTCGATTAACATCTAATTGATTACTTTTTGTTCGCTGTGCTGTCATTTTTCCACAAATGAGACTGCAGCATATGTTTGAAACGATGGGTGATGAGCCTCTGGTGAGGTTAATGCTCAGCATGATATAACCAACAATCAATACGAAACTAACGATTTTAAATTGGCTCACCACTTTAGTAGCCTATTAGCAACAATCAATACGAAACTAAAGATTTTAAATTGGCTCACCACTTTAGTAGCCTATTGGTCCCAAGCAAACGATTAACGTACCCTATTCTAGTTGAAATTCTATTACTACACTATGTTTGTTTTGATTCGCTATGAAAGTTTGACAGATAACATCAGGGGTGTGTGGATTCATGCAGAACATGCAGGGGTGAGTGAAATAGCTTGGGACCGTTGTTCTGGTACTGAGTGAGCCAAAAATAATAATGATTTTCTTGGGGACCCAGTGGTCTTAGAGTTACCTCTATGCTATTAGTCCCAAGCAAACGATTAACGTACCCTATTCTAGTTGAAATTCTATTACTACACTATGTTTGTTTTGATTCGCTATGAAAGTTTGACAGATAACATCAGGGGTGTGTGGATGCATGCAGAACATGCAGGGGTGAGTGAAATAGCTTGGGACTGCTTGGGACCGTTGTTCTGGTACTGAGTGAGCCAAAAATAGTAATGATTTTCTTCGGGACCCAGTGGTCTTAGAGTTACCTCTGTATGATATAACCGATTACAAATATCTTAATTTTCGGTTCGTTAATCGATTAATCGATTATTCGAATGAAAATCGGCCATCACTAGATGAATGTGAAACGTCATTTCAAATTTAAGGTCGCACATAAATAATGATACAATTTGAAAGGGACCGGGGCTAATCACAAATTACGTCCCCATGGTAACTGAAATAAACACGAGTGCGGACCGGTTGGCCATACCATAGAGGTAACTCTAAGACTATAAGGTCCCGAAATAACGTGCTCAACTTTTTGGCTCAGCTCTGGTACTCTCTTCGGCTCCAAGCTAACCGATTCACCCCTCGAAACATATGAAAATCCACTAACCCCTCATTTTATCTGTCAAACTTTCATAGCGAATCAAAACAAACATTTTGTAGTACTAGAATTTCGACTAGAACGGGGTACGATAATCGTTTGCTTGGGACCAATAGGCTAGTCAAGTAGTGAGCCAATTTAAAATCGTTGGTTTCGTATTGATTGTTGTTAATACCCCGTACAGAGTATGGCCAACAATCAATACGAAACTAACGATTTTCAATTGGCTCACCCATACCCATAGAGGTACCCTAATAAAAATTGTATGGTTAATTTGCTTAACGACGTGTTCTGGGTATCATCCAAACCATTTGTGGAATAGTTCAATGATTTGGGTTATCGTTCGTTTATGGTTATTTTTTATTAGGGTAACTCTAAGACCACTGGGTCCCGAAGAAAATCATTATTATTTTTGGCTCACTCAGTACCAGAACAACGGTCCCAAGCAGTCCCAAGCTATTTCACTCACCCCTGCATGTTCTGCATGCATCCACACACTCCTGATGTTATCTGTCAAACTTTCATAGCGAATCAAAACAAACATAGTGTAGTAATAGAATTTCAACTAGAATAGGGTACGTTAATCGTTTGCTTGGGACTAATAGCATAGAGGTAACTCTAAGACCACTGGGTCCCGAAGAAAATCATTATTATTTTTGGCTCACTCAGTACCAGAACAACGGTCCCAAGCTATTTCACTCACCCCTGCATGTTCTGCATGAATCCACACACCCCTGATGTTATCTGTCAAACTTTCATAGCGAATCAAAACAAACATAGTGTAGTAATAGAATTTCAACTAGAATAGGGTACGTTAATCGTTTGCTTGGGACCAATAGGCTACTAAAGTGGTGAGCCAATTTAAAATCGTTAGTTTCGTATTGATTGTATTGTTTTGGGTATGTTTTACCTGTAATTAGGTAGTCCAGTCTTAGCGTATGTGTCAAACTTTTCATGCCTAAATTTTGCCGTGTACATATTTCATCGTTGTCGTGTCAATGTGTCAAAATGTTGGTGAGGTTTGAAAATTAATAAACAAAAACAAGTGTTTAGTTTCCAGAAAAAAAATTAATTCTCTTCCAAATTGATCAGTTCTAATCCCGTAATAATTGTGAAGATCTTTGACGTGAACCGTAATTTTGTAATGTGTGTAAATGTTTCAATTTTAGCACTAACATATAAAATTTTCAACTAACTTGAAATGGTAAGTAGGCTGATTCTAGCCTGTTTTTTTTAATTCTACGCTTAAATAATTGAAAAAAAATGTAACAAGGCTTAACCTTCCCTGTTTATCAGATACATAAATATATGTATATATATATTTAAGTTTTACTTAAATAAAAATCTTGTCCTGATCAATCGACTAAAGCTTCACCTACCAGGTTCCGTTGTATCACATATTTATTGTTACTGCCTTGTGGATTATTGTTAACTACAAACTACATTGAGTTTTCGTTTATATGCTCATTATAAAATTCCGAACAGCAAATTGTGTGGCCTTTCTGTAGAGAAGATGCCTTTAATGTGCAGGCATAGTGGTTATAGGGAACAACTTTCTGTCGGAATTCGTTGAATTTAGTTGGAATGTAAATATGGTATTTTACACCTTCGTCAATTACTATAGCCCTCAGAAGGTAAATAAAGTCCTTGTGCGCTCAATTTTGGCCAAATATTATACTAAATCTTTGAGTATTTTTGTGTAAGTACATCAACTCACCTTGACAATAATAGATTAACAAATGAGCAACTCGTGACCATTTTTGAAATAGTACGTATTTCAAACGGATTGATAACAAACAACATGTTTAATAATCTTTTCAATTCCTATGTCTTTTATAAATCACTTTTCTTTCCCGGGATGCTGGGAATTCCCGGAAATTCTTCTTTATTATGAGATGACTGGCTAAAAATCTCAACAAAAAGTAAAAATAAACTTTATTTTCCATTTCTCGGGAAGTTTATTCCCAGTATGTAAAATTGAAAACCCTGGAATCATGAAGAAGACCAGAAATAGTTGGAAACAAAATCTGGGATTACGGATCATCATAAAAAATACTGATTTACATCATACATAGCTAATGAGTAACTGCAGGTTTTCCCAAATATGAGTAAATTTCGTATAAGTCAATTGAATTCAGTCGCTGAATGTTGATTTGAATGTTGATTACTTGATAAATTTTGACATTTTAGATTGGGAATAATGTTTAAGATAACTGAGCAATTATTGTTATGATCGAAGACCAAAATTTAAAAAAATATATCCCGTCTCATGTCCACACTGGAGATGGTAAATGTTATGGGAAAAATTGCCGTGACATTAGTTTCCCGCATACGATTTAGTGGTAACATTTAGGCAGTAAAAATGTGCATTTACCACCTCTGCCTAATGCTTTGTTTAGACTACAAAGTTGTAACATGTAATCTGCCGTTCTACGCATATCAGTCCCATGTTTCAAAAGTTGCTTCTGAGAAAATCGCGAATAATGTTTCCAATCATTTCTGCTCATTGGAAGAAATATACGTTAAAATAAGTTACCGCATTGTTCACATTTCAACAGAATCAATATGTTTTAGTGAAAACTACAGAAATTACCTTCAATGAAATCAGTTAAGCCTATTTTTATACGAACAATATTTAATGGGACTGTTATGCCTAGAAATTTGCAATGAAGTAGGATATTCTACGCATGTTAGTCCCACTAGAGACTGTTACTTTCAGTGTTGCTTTGATGGCCACGTTGCGTTTGACGTCTTTACTCTTGTGCTTGCGTTCTCCGCGAAGTTTTGGAAGATCCTGGATAGTTTGTATAGCTTTCCATCATTAAATTATACCAACAATAAATTTGTTGACATTGCTACTTCTATAAAACTATTAAAAGTATGGGCATTGCAAGAAACTAATGATGAATGCACTATTTAGAACATAAACTTCTTAACATCTTGTTCTACTCCTTAGCAAGATGAACGTAGGCCTAAAGGAGATTGTGCTTAATCATGTTGAGTCCAACCATAGATTTATGGCGGCTGACATGCTGTGGACAAAAGATCAATACGTTACACGATCGTCGATCGTGGGCTTCGATGATTTCAAGAAATACTTTGGATTAGTTGACATGCACATGCAAATTTCGTCCGTACAAAGTTGACTTTTATGCTGCGTATTATCATATTATAAAAGGGGCTTTTCATGCAACACGTAGACACTATAGGGGGAGTGTCGGGGTGGCGATTGTCTACGTAAGTGTCTAATAATGCAGTGTTTGAAATTAGAAACTGGTGTTTTAATATGAAATCCCGTTTTTCTTAATATTTATCAACATAAAATAAAACTTCCACTTCCTAAAATGGTTCATACCGTTTCTTTTGATTATATAAATCCTGTTTCAATAATTTGTGTACACAAATCGATTCGTTAATGATAGATTCAGTCAAGAAAATCTTTGTGGGACAATTATGCGTAGAATTTCAACATGTGACAATTAGGCTTGATATTGTTTTTATACAAACCCAGAACAAGTTATATGTTTTTCTATTTTCATTCCAAAGTCTACCTAAAAAAGTACTGTTTTATGAACAAAAGTGAAGAACGTCCAAAAGTAACATGGGACAGATATGCGTAGAACGGCAGTAATGGCCGATCGGAAACCCGGAATTAAACCGAAACCACATTGTCCAATCCTGATGAATGTGGGCGTCTCTCCTGTATAATGAGAGAGAGAAGGATTAGTATTTTCCATTTAATTCCACTACTTTATTTACTTATCCTTGACAGATACGCGTATTTCGTCTACAATGTGCAGACTTCTTCAGTCTCTTGTACTAATACTCGACCGGTAAAATTTACGTGAAAATCAATTGATTTTTATATGCATCATGCATTATCATCATGCATCATTCCCAAAACACGTAATATTCACATGAAAAGTAAGATGGAAAATATCTACGTACCTTTTCAGGTGAATATTACGTGAATTTTCATTTTTTTTTTTTTCCTAATCCTGGAGTGGAACTGTTTCTAGAAAGACTTACATTTTTTACTTTAGGAATGGATTTCAAATTCTGGGAGCTGGGTATTTTCATTAAGATCGTTGATTTTTGTATAAGAGAATAGAAAGCGAAAATTGATCATCGTTCTATTTTTTTCTTCAAATGTAAATATTTGATGCTTACCATTTATTTTAGCCAGGAACCGATGCTCTGGAAGCTTTCAAAAATTCCCCGTTTACTGAAATAATCTTGTAGCTCGTAATTTGAAATTATGAGTAGCCCAAATAATCTGATCCTGCATTCGCTTTTTCATTTCTGGATTAATAAAACTTAAGAATATTTTCTGGATTGAAATGAATGTAAAAAACTGGGCTGTCTGGCAATCCCAAATCTTCCAACAATGGGGAATGCCAATACTTTCTTCTGTCACCATCTTGAACTTAAGAGGTTACGCACAGAACATTTCCACACTATGAGATCACGGAAAATTTACGTGAATTTTACATAACCTTCACCAGCATGACACATGGACTCGACCAGTAAATCCAGTAAATTTCATTAACATGTTGTTGAATTTTACGTGTAGCATGTAAATTTTATTAGATTCTTGTTTTTAAGAAGTCACCTGAATTTTCAGGTAAAAAATTACGTTTGTTATGGGTTCAGTGTGCAATCTTTAACATTTATTAAATTGGGAGGGGTAACTTTCTTTTACAATTATTTATTTATTTATTCGTCGTCAATCAAATGTAGACCAGTTTAATTTACAAAAACACTTAACATCTATTTTAATTTTCAATCTCTGACTAACCTCGCAAAGAAACGTTTTTTAAGAGCATTTTTGTTCATTGTCAAATCAATTGTTTCATAATGTTTATTATGACAAGACATCATTCTATTTAAAGGCGCGTTCCTGGCATAGTTTGTTCTTTGGTTGTGGATATAAAACATATTTCTGTTTCTTAAGGAACGAGTGGGAACATAGAAATTTAGATTTTCTAAAATCTCTGTGGCATTCACTCTTTGTGCTACAACATCGTTTATAAAAGCTATCATTGCAAACTGCCTTCGCTTTTCAAGGGCATCCAAATAGATCAACATACATCGAGACTCATAAGATGGTAAGGGTAAAACTCGTCCAGCCTAACTTTCTTAGAGCAAATAATAGAAACTGTATTTGAACTGATTCAATGCGGTTTATATGAGTATCTTGATATGGAGCCCAGACTATACTACAGAACTCAAGGAGGGGCCTAACATATGCAACATATAATGTTTTGATTGCGTATGGATCATTGGAATGAAAGCTAAACCTTTTAATAAACCCTAACATGTTCCTTGCCTTGTAGATAATGTTAATATAATGTTCAACAAAGCTTAATTTTGAATCTAGTATATGTATGTAAGTAGCCACCATCCTAGCTTGGGTCTTGCCCTGCATGCGGCTCCACTCAACAGCAAGATCAAATTCCGTCATCATTCTGAATTCAACATACTGCTGTATGAAGGGCCAAAAAGGGTTGGACGGGCCCGTAAGCAGAGGCACTTACGCGAAACCCGCGGGAATAAGAGAATCTCCTTCCAACAATATGATCCAACAAAATGAATAACTAAATTCGCAATACATGTTAAGCTTTCCACGGGATGGTTTGTTTAAGAAGAGCGCGTCAAATTCATTGCAACTGTTGGAGTGAAATGTAACTATCTAAAATGACAGTACACATTCCCTCCTAGACTCCGGTTGGCACTCCACTCCATTGTCCAGTTAAAACTTCAATGATGCCCTGATGCTCCCTCCCCTCCCAGTATTTATTGTAATTTACATTATGAATTTATATATAATCATGTAATTGTAGAATCCTATCGCCATGAAAACAGTTCGCCCTGTCACACGTTTACTTCTCAACTGAACTCCCATCACCATTCTTCATCCGCAATCATAGAACACTCACACTAGCATAGTAAACAGGGGTGTATCCAAGGCACTATCAAGTAGTTGTCAACTCTACATCCCTTCTCTACTCAAAAAAAAATCCATGTTTTCTAAATGTTTGCCATAAAAACATCATCAAATCCCGACGCATTTTCATAATCTCATTTCAAGGACGTACCCTTCAGAATCCTAATGGCCGATAGGTTTCACCACGAGGACCGAAAACACCGTTTTCAACATAAAATCAGTGAAATGATCTGTAAACTTTTGTCTCCCTCAACCGT